ACGTAAAAAACAAACAAACGCCTGGGGAGGTTGGACGCCTAGATTAATTTTAGTGACTTAAGAAAAGTGACTTCAATTTGGAGGAAAGATTGTGGGGGTAGATTTCATCCCTTTGATGTGAGTGGTCGGTATAAATGGGGGAGTATAATACACTCTGGAGTCAACAGATTTTTTTTTTTTCATTTCAGCATATTACGGGGGTACAAGTGTTAAGGTTACGTATATTGCCCATGCTCCCCCCTCCCTCCTTGAGTCAGAGGTTCAAGCGTGGCCATCCCCCAAATGTTGCACATCTCACTCATTATGTTTCTATATACCCATCCCCTCCGCTCCCCTCCCACCTGCCCGACTCTCGAGAAATGTTATTCCTATATGTCCACTTAGGTGTTGATCCCTGGGATCAACAGATTTGAGCCCTAACCCTGTATGGAGCAAGAGTATGCCATTGTAAAATCAGAGCCTGGCTTGTTTTAGGATGGGTAGGACGCAAATTGCCCAGAGCAGTGTGGGTCAGTAGAGGTTGGTTGAATAAATGAATAAACACATGGGTCAAGGTGATTATAGAAGAATATAACCGTAATGGCCCCAACTGCTCAGGAATGTGGTGTTCTGTTGAATTGGAAATTGATTTTTACTGTTATTGTGACTTTTTATTTCTGCATCATAACTACATGCCAGATTGTAGACCAATTCAACATCAAGACTTCTGAGACTTTCTTGATTTTTGTCTCCATCAAACTGGTTTGCAAATTATTTGCTAGAATTTTCTTTAAAAAAAAAAAACCCAAACCTTACGAGATCCTGACTGTCCTATGGGTTTTTAGGTGCTTGTGTTTGTTCTTTCTTCTAGCAACATCAGAACTCGATCTGGAAATGGAAGCTCTCAAAACCGTGTACAAGTCAGGGGAGACCATCGTGGTCACCTGTTCGGTCTTCAACAACGAGGTGGTTGACCTTCAGTGGACCTACCCGGGCATGGTGGTAGGTACCCCTAGACGTGGAGGGGCTTCAGCAGAGCGCAGCGGGGTGCAAAGACCTGAGCTCGAGTTCTGCCTGTCCCTGACCTTCTGTGGACCTTCACTTCCCATCTCTACAATGCGCACATTTGATCGGATGGCCTGCAAGGTTTCTCGATCAGTGGGAGAGTTTGAGATGATGCTAGCTGGACCAGGGCCTTCAGGATGCACAAAGAGCGTGCGCCGAGTCTTCTTTTTCAGAAGTCAGAAAGAAACAGGAAGGTCCTTTGGCAACATAACAACCAAAAAAAAAAAAAAATCAGAAAGCAACTGGATTGTCTCCAGTCTGCTAATTGTTGGGACAGTCATTCATTCTCACTGCTCTCCCATGCCTTTGGGTTTCGAGGCATCAGATAGTGTTGGTTGCCCGCTCCCCTTCCTTTTCTGCTTTGCTGGCACCCGGGACCCTGTGCCATCCTGTAAATTTCTTGTAAATTTCTTATAAATTTCTTCTAAGTTTCTTCTGAGTTTCTGCTCCCTGCTCTTCCTGGCATTTGATGGCTTTCTCTCCTTCCATCCATTTCTCTGATTCCTGTTGTCCAATTCTCTTCTTGCATTTGCTGCCAGTCTTCTTTTGTTCCCGGGCATCTGATGGAAGGTGGGCATCTTCATGCATTGCCTTATAAATCTCATGCTTTGAAAGGACCTTTATAGTCCAATATGTGTACATCTTCCCTGGAATACGAAGCGGTTTGGTTTTTCTGTTCACACTTGAGTGCCTTTAATTCTTAAAACATAAACGCTTCTTTCCATTCATAATGGGAGACAGAAAATTCTTACCAAAGTGCATTGCTGTTTGGCTCACAAATGTATAATCAAAGCATTGTTTTATAAAAACCATTTTTTTCTTTTCTTTTTTATTTTAGAGAGAAACATAGGATAGCGATTTGCACTTTAAAAAAATGTTATTGTTAAAACTTTATAAAATATAGACCTACAGAGGAAAAGCTACTTCCCATAGCATCACTGTTCATATTTTGGGGAGATAAATCCTTTAAATACTTTTTGCACATAGATAAATGTTTAATAATTAATAGGTATTATTCTTTTTTTTTTTCTCAGCTGTGAACTCCTGACCTCGGCAATCCGTCTTGGCTCCAGATACGAGATTACAGGCATGAGCCACTGGTGCCCGGCCAACAGAGCATCTTTTAATAGCATAAGGAGACTTAGGGGCCACATGTCATGCAGCTAAGTCTTTTTTTTTTTTTTTTACATGTAGCCTAAGTAGCTGGTTTCTTTTGGAAAGGAAATTTCAGGCAATGGATTATAAATTTATGTTTACTCCAAGGATTACTCTTTCATAAATAAATTTCTATTTTATTTCTCAATAGTACTGTACTATAGGGAAGGTTAAAAAGCATTCTATATTTAAAAATTAAAGTATATTCTGTTTTGAAGCAAGTTGGACATAGCACCATTGCCACAGTTGTTTTAGTGGTGCTTAAATTTGATCTAGATTACTGGTTAGATTTACATTATCATATAAGCCCATTGTGTTGGGGCTGCACGCAACTTTGTATTATTCATATTTCAAAGTCCACCTTCAAAAATACTCACGATGTTACGGCGTGGGCGCCGAATCTCTGGATAATTGTGTAAAGGGACAATTGTACCTGGTAACGAATAATGCCAGTGGGGTGGCGTTTCTGGATTTACCATGTGTTGAAGATGAGAGCACAATGCCAACAGAGTCTTCTTCATTTTTTGTAACCCACAGACCCGGAGGTAGCCTTGGCTCTTCGGAATGACAGATTATTTGGTCATCGTGCGAGGATATCATCCGCCATCATTCCCGTGTCGACGACGAACCTAGACCCGCTGACCTTACTAACAGTGACGGGGTGTGCCCGCCTTCTATGACAGCAGGCAGGCTTAATGGACCTTCTCTGTCGGCCTATATTGCGAGGCCTACTGTCAAAGGAAAGACCTCCAGACCCAACCACTTTAATGTTTTGCCTTTAAAGGTATGCCGCCCTCTCGTCTCTTTAATAAATGACAGGCCAAAATCATCAATGCGTGTAGGTATTTCTTTTTTCCCCCCAATCCACCATCCCTGTGTAGAGACCAGAAATTGATTTGGGATTTTAGGGCCCCGCTAATACGATGTCAGGCTGACTCTATGGCTTATAATAATACTAACTTAGAGTCACCAAAGGCTAAAGCTTGCCTACCCCTGTAAGAATTCACCTTTCATCAGCTGACTTCGAAAATACTGTAAGGAATTCTTCCTTGCATAAGCCTCTTACTGTTTTATCCACTTTTCCTGACTAAAAAACAAACAAACGCCTGGGGAGGTTGGACGCCTAGATTAATTTTAGTGACTAAGAAAAGTGACTTCAATTTGGAGGAAAGATTGTGGGGGTAGATTTCATCCCTTTGATGTGAGTGGTCGGTATAAATGGGGGAGTTAAATACCACTCTGGATCAACAGATCTTTTTTTCTTTTTCATTCGCATATTAGCGGGGGTACAAGTGTTAAGGTTACGTATTGCCCATCCCCCCCTCCTCCTTGAGTCAGAGGTTCAGCGGGCCATCCCCCAAATGTGCAACACTCTCACCATTGTTCTATATACCTACCCTGCCCCTCCCCTGCCCGACTCCTCGAGGAAGTATTCCTATATGTCCCACTAGGTGTTATCCGTGGGATCAACAGATTTGACGCCCTAAACCCTGTATGGAGCAAGAATATGCATGTAAAATCAGAGCCTGGCTTGTTTCAGGATGGGGTAGGAGGAAACTATAGGAGAACACACACAAATAAAGATCCTTTGTAATGTCATTATCGGAAAATATTTATTGTCAACATTTCACAGCTGTATTCAGTTTTTTTATTTTTATTTTTTTTGAGACAGTGTCACTCTGTTGCCCAGGCTAGAATGAGTGCCGTGGCGTCAGCCTAGCTCACAGCAACCTCAAACTCCTGGGCTCAAGTGATCCTCCTGCCTCAGCCTCCTGAGTAGCCCGGCGAATTTTTTTTCTATGTATTTTTAGTTGGCCAATTAATTTCTTTCTGTTTTTAGTAGAGATGGGGTCTCGCTCTTGTTCAGGCTGGTTTCGAACTCTTGACCTTGAGCGATCCTTCCGCCTCGGCCTCCCAGAGTGCTAGGATTACAGGCGTGAGCCACCGTGCCTGGCCTTATTTTTCAGTTTTTTAATGGGCTTCCTTTCCTGTTCTCCCTAATTATGGGCCTCCCCAGGGATTTAGAACTTTTTCACTTCTTTCATGACACTCTTATCCAAATGAACCTTCCTTTTTAACAGTAAAAAAAATTGGCCGGGCGCGGTAGCTCACATCTGTAATCCTAGCACTCTGGGAGGCCGAAGTGGGAGGATCGCTCATGGTCAGGAGTTCGAAACCATCCTGAGCAAGAGCAAGACCCCCCATCTCTACTAAAAATAGAAATAAATTAATTGGCCAACTAAAAATATATGAAAAAAATTAGCCGGGCATGGTGGCACATGCCTGTAGTCCCAGCTATTCGGGAGGCTGAGGCAGGAGGATTGCTTGAGCTCAGGAGTTGGAGGTTGCTGTGAGCTAGGCTGACACCACGGCACTCACTCTAGCCTGGGCAACAAAGCGAGACTCTGTCTCAAAAAAAAAA